CACAAAGTACCCGGCAGGGCCCCAGCAGCATCCTAGCTGTAAGGCTCCCGCTCTGTGACTCCGCCCGGCCAGGGCGGCTGGGGCCAAAGGCGTCGGGGGGCTGGTCTGTTTCCGCTCCTGCCTTGGGGGGTGGGGTGCCAGGGAGGGGGGGAGCACCGCTTTTGCTGCTCGCTGATGTGGTGGCAGAGCACAGTCTGATGGTAGATTCTCCCACAATCTGGATTTTGTTGTAGGTTGCCCCTAAAATGGAGCTCCACCCTTGTGGTAGTCCGTTTCAGCCATCATCAAAGTATCGCTGTCCCCCCTGCCAACGAATAGCATAAACCTAGACTTTTGCTCCTGTTTAATGATAGTGGAGGAAATAGGTCTTATTTGTTTTCATTTTCTAGAAAGTGAAGTGCTTGCCATTCACTCAGCTTTTTAGGAATACAGTGTTATGTGGCTTTGTCAGGATTCTTCTTTTCTTTGCCTCATTGCATCAGCCAGGTGGCTGTACACTGAAATGTTTTTTCTTATTACTGCTATTGCTTATTATTGGGTTAAAAGAAGAAAAAAACTAGTGTGATTTTTCTTGTTTTACCTTGAACAAAAAATAGTTAATACTGATAAAAGTAATTAAAATAAGAATGACAACTTAAAAGATGTGGAATTGTAATTAAAAGGTCTTAAAATATTGACTTCCCAACTTTATACACTTATCTATGTTTCAGAATAGTTTTTTTGATTCTGGTATGGAAGAGTATTGCTCCTTCACAACTTCACTGCCTCTTATTTATCTGCTTTTATCTTCTTTGATCATGCTGCTCTGGCAGTAATGCCAGCCTTATCAACCTTATGCCAGCTTCTCATGCAAACATTTATGCTGCCTCTGTTGTGTGGATGCCTTCACTGACCACTTTTGTAAACCTACTATCCTTTCTTCCCTCAAAATTTGGCTTGCGACTTCACCTTGCACATGAAGCTTTTAAGAAATTAACTAATTAATGTATAGGTTGTTGAATATAGGGGGATTGCTGACAGCCACCAGCTTTCCTAAACGTTGCTGTTAGGTGTATGAACATCTTCGTATATGCAAGCTGTCCTACTTTCACTGCGTTATTTTACTTAGGGTGTGATCCTGCAGATCTTAGGCACATGAATAGTCCTTTCGAACTCAGTGGGTTGTATCTTCAGCAGATGAATTAGGATATACATCAGACGATGATGTAGCCCACTGGGTTATCTGACATGCATAAACATTACTCATGTAAAGATGTCTGCAGGATCAGACCCGTATAATGTTTGAATCAACAAAGTTACTATGGGTAAACCACTAACTTGCTTCTAGAATCTGCTTAATGATCTGCTGTCATTAAGCCATTTAGAGCAGCAGGAAGGCTTGTTTTAACATGTTAATTTCAAATAAATTTGAACAGTTACACATGGACATAGTACTTATTTCAGTGTGATATTTAAAGGAACACCTTTTATGTAAACATTAACAGTGTTTACCTATTCTTGTTACAAATTAAATCTAAGATTATCATACAATTTCTGAAAGGATAGCAGGGGAGAATTATTTTGTTTTTTCGCCCGTTATGTATAATGAACTCATTGGTTTCCCTTTACCATTAAAATGAAAACATTTTATTATTAGCCTTATGGAAACTAGGAGAACAAAACACAGAAAATGACAGTTGCAGAGGTATTAGGAACATTTGCGGGTACAGTTTCAGCAACAGGATCCACCC